CTTCTTCACCCTCATACCTGTTGGTTACAGTCAGCTCCTGACTCAGGAACCCATACCATTCACCAAGCCTTGCTTTGTGCTGAGGACTTAAGGAAACACTACATTTCCTTTAGAAACCTCTTGGATCGGGATGATTGTTAGTGTTTTCAACAGTTAAACTTTGACCCAGGCTTTGTTCTTTGTAGTTTACTCTTGGTAATGGCTTGTACTTTAGTCTCAGTAAACCTTAGCTACCAAGTAACTTTTTTATTTTATTTATTTGTGTGTGGTATCAAACCTAGAATATTATGCATCAGTTTTGGATCTATTTATTTAAATTCCCAATTTACAGTGGAGGTGAGTTTAAGAGTAGTGATTCTCACATATACTTTTATACTGAAGAGTTTTAGACTTTTTAGATTTCCTTTTCCTTCCTTCCTTCCTTCCTTCCTTCCTTCCTTCCTTCTTTCCTTCCTTCCTTCTTTCCTTCCTTCCTTCCTTCCTTCCTTCCTTCCTTCCTTCCTTCCTTCCTTTCTTTCTTTCTTTCTTTCTTTCTTTCTTTCTTTCTTTCTTTCTTTCTTTCTTGTTTTTGAGACAGGGTTTTTCTTTGTAGCTCTGGCTGTCCTGGAACTCACTGTTTAGACCAGGCTGATCTTAAACTCACAGAAATCCTCTTGCCTCTGCCTCCCAAATTCTAAGATTAAAGGCACATGCTACTACTACTTGGCTTTTTTTTTTTTAGCATCTTTAAAAAACTGTGTTTGACTGGGTGGTAGTAGCACATGCCTTCAATCCCAGCACTCAAGAGGCAGGCAGATCTCTGAGTTTGCGGCCAGCCTGGTCTACAAGAGCTAGTTCCACAACAGTTTCCAAAGCTAAAAAGAATACCTGTCTCAAAAACAAACAAACAAGCAGAAAAACAGTGTTAGAAGCTGGACAGTGGTGGTGCATGGCTTTGATACCAGCACTCAGAAGGCACGGGCAGATGGATCTTTGAGTTTGAGGCCAGCCTGGTCTATAGGGTGAGTTTCAGGACAACCAGGGCTACACAGTGAAACCCTGTCATACAAAAAAACAAAACAAAAAACAAACAAACAAAAAAAAAAACCCCAAACAACTGTAGCTTCTTTTCTTATTTACATTAAAAACTACATGATAGAAGCAAATCAAAAGAGAAAGGCTTATCTTAGCTGGATTTTCAGGGGAGACAGTCCATTATGGAGAGGAAAGCAAGGCAACTGGGCAGCATCGCAGCAGCAGAAATGGGCGCTCCTGACATCTTGCCAGTTCAGGAAGCAATGACTGTAACTCTAGCGGCCTGGCCAAACAGGCCGACATCCACCAACAGCAGTCCCCATGGCCCAGATGTTCTGTTCTCTCTCCAAACAGGACTACCTGCTGGGAACAACATGTTCTAACACATCAATCCATAGGGAGAATTTCCCGTTCAACCTGTAATAGAGACCTTCCAGAGAGGGAAGTCACTGGATTCTAGACCAAGGCTGGCGGTTACTGTCCCTATCACAGTAGAGCTTTGATAGTTGAAGTGATGTTTTTGGGGGATGTCGCATATTACAAACCACAGTGGCCTTTACTGGAATTGTAAAGAAATAGTTTGAAGAAACTGAAAACATTAGTGATTTTCACAACTGTAGAAAATTCTAAAATATTAATGCAGATGGAAAAAGTAGACAACCTTAGCCTTATATAGTTCTAGTCATTCCTTCTATGGGTTCAAGACATCCCTCTTCAACTTTTGTTGTAATAGTTGCAGGGATGAGAATTTGCCTCAGTGGCAGAATACCTGCTTAGTGCGCTCAGGGCTCTAGGTTTTATCTCCAGGGAAAAAGTGTGTGCATGCGTGCGTGCGTGTGTGTGCATGTGTGTGTGTGTAACGGAGTGTTGAAGTCAAAAACACTTATGTTCAGATTCCAGCTTTTTTACTACTAGTGTCATTCTTTAGAAATTACTTACCCTGGGCTGGAGAGATGGCTTAGTGGTTAAGAGCATTGCCTGCTCTTCCAAAGGTCCTGAGTTCAATTCCCGGCAACCACATGGTGGCTCACAACCATCTGTAAAGAGGTATGGTGCCCTCTTCTGGCCTGCAGATATACACACAGACAGAATATTGTATACATAATAAATAAATGAATATTTAAAAAAAATTACTTACCCTAACTGGGAGGTGGTGTGCAAAGGTACTGTTGCACACCTTTAATCCTAGTGCTCAGGAAGTGGAAAACTCAGAGATCTCTGAGTTTGAGGTCAGCCTGGTTGGTCTACAGAGTGAGTTCCAGGACAGCTGGGACTACACAGAAAAACCCTGTCAGGAAGAGGAAGAGGAGGAGGAGGAGGAGGAGGAGGAGGAGGAGGAGGAGGAGGAGGAGGAGGAGGAGGAGAAAACCAAGGCAAAACAAAGTGTCAGACATGGTAACACATGCCTGTAATCTCAGCGCTTGAAAAGTTGACACATCCTGACTGTGAGAGGAGAAGGCACACAGTGCCCAGGAGGCCAGAAGAGCTGTCCGGTCCCCTGGGAGTAGAGTTCAGGGATGTGAGCGGCCATGTAAGTGTTGGGAATTAAAACAGGGTTCTCTGGAAGAGCAGCCTGTGCTCTTAACTGCTAAGCCATCTGCCCAGCACCTAGCTTTTAACTGAAATATCAAGTTTAGTTTAAATTAGCTGACGTGTACTTCATGCTGTTTAACTTGGTGTTTTCCTTCTTGAAACAGAACTGTGGTCTGTGTGCCTTACTGCCATTTTTATTTACAGTAAATAACAATGCAGAGTGATGTTTTCACCATAGTGTTTGTAAACAACGTTTGTTTTCCCAACAATTTCTATCCATCCTAAACAAAGAATGCGTTGTGGAAGCTATAGGGATGTCTCCTCAAACTAGAGGACTTGCTCAGCGGTCCTATTTGGAGAGAGAACAGAACATCTGGGCCATGGGGACTGCTGTTGGTGGATGTCGGCCTGTTTGGCCAGGCCGCTAGAGTTACAGTCATTGCTTCCTTAAGACTCAGGAAGGGAACAGACCAGAGTCACCTCTGGGCGTCTGGTGTACCATGGGGCTGCCTAGCTGTTGATGTGATGCAAAGATGTCCTCTGATCATTGCATCCCTGATCTCTTCTCACTTTGCCTGCCACATGTAAAGAGGCAAGCTTCGTAATGCATCGAATACAGACTGAAGCACATGTGTTGCTAGGAAACCATTTCATGGCAGTAATTGTTCATAAAATAGACATTTGAAGAGCTTTGTTTGTTTTTTGAGATGGGGATCCCTATGTAGCCTGACTGTCCTGGAACTCTCAGGAAGCCACTCCCTCTCCCTTTGAGTGTTGGCATTAAAGGTGTATACCACCACACCAGCCTAACTTTGTTTGAATGAATGAATGAATGATTTAAGTGCTGGGGATTAAGCAAGGGCCTCACACATGCTAGCCACGCTCTCTTCCACTGAGTTGTCGTCCCGTTCCCTGATCTGTAGAGGCTTTGCTTTGAGACGGGGTCTTACTCTATAGCTAAGGCTGTGCCGGACCTCACTGTGTAGTTCAACATGGCCTTGTACTCAGCAATTCTGCTTCCAGAGTGAGCCACTGTGGCCAGCGTATCTACAGAGCTCTTTGACAGTTTTGTGTTCTGTGACTCACAGATAATTTAGGTTCTTTGTCTACAGTGTATAAAAGAACTGTGTCTGGAGTCTATAAGGGAAGAAGAGAGCCAACAAAATGGCTCACGGGATATAGGTGCTTGCTGCCAAGCCTGAGCACCTAAATTTGGCCCCTGGAACCGACGTGATGAACGGAAAGAACAGGTTTCTGCAAGTGTCCCCTTACTTCCACATGCAGGCACATGCGCCCCTTGTCAAAAGAAACACGTGCACATTTCTAAACAAGGGAGGTGTGAAGTTGGGTATTTGGCCTTAGGGTAGAGTACTTGCTTAGCAAAAGTGTGGCTGTGGATTTTTGTTCCCAACACTGAGTGGGGAAAAGGAAATGTAACATTGATTTGGGGTTTTACCCAGCTTTATTATTGCTGTTGCTTTTGTTTGTTTGTTTGTTTGAGATAGAATCTCTCTGTATAACCCTGGCTGGCCTAGAATTTACTATGTAGGTCTTAATCCATCTGCCTCTGCCTCCCAAATTAAAAGCATGTATAACCCCAACCAAAGGGAAAGATATATAGGCATATGTATGTATATATGTACATGTGTGTATATATATATATATATATATATATATACAGAGAGAGAGAGAGAGAGAGAGAGAGAGAGAGAGAGAGAGAGAGATGGAGAGAGGGAGGGAAGGAAAGAGAGACAGAAAGGTTCTTGTTTTATGTGTATGATGTATGGCTGTCCTGGAACTCGCTTTGTAGACCAGGCTAGCCTTGAACTCATTGAATCAGCCTGCCTCTGCTTCCCAAGTGCTGGTATTAAAGGTGTGCACCACATCCAGTATTAGCCCTATTTTAATGTTCCAGCTAAGATCTAAATACCCCTGCACTAACCAGGAAAGAAGGACCTAACAGGGACCGTGTCTTTAACGTCAGGGTGGAAGTAATGCTTCTCAGTCTCACAAGTTCTCTCCTAATTCTATCATATGTGCAGTTATTCTTACACGTTTGCACTCATGAAGCTAGCTCCTCTCCTATTTCCTTTTCTTTTGCTTCCATGACTTTAGCTACCATGGGTGGTGGTGGCACATGCCTTTAATCCCAGCACTCGGGAGGCAGAGACAGGTGAGTTCAAGGGTAGCCTGGTCTACAGAGCTAATGCCAGGACAGGCTCCAAAGCTACACAGAGAAACCCTGGATACCCTGTCTTAGAAAACAAAAACAAACAAACAAACAAAACAACAACAACAACAAAAAGTGTGCTTACCTAGCATCTGACAGTCTTTAACCCTGAAATCCACTGGCAATGGGAGTAGGAACAGCGAGTTAAATGTCCTTCTGTGACAAGTGTCTCTGTGGTTTCTGAGCATCTCCTCAACTGTGCTATTTCACTCTTCCAATTTAGTTGATCACGGCCTTGCCAGGTTGGTGACAGTTTATTGTGAGCATGGCCACAAAGCCGCCCAGATCAACCCTCTCTTTCCGGGACAAGCCCTGCTGGATACTGTGCCTGAAATCCAAGCCCTCGTACAGACCCTGCAGGGACCCTTCACTACCACAGGTAAGGCAGCAGCTGGGCATGAGAGGGGAGTTGTCAGGTGGAGGGTCTTGTTCTGTTCTTGAGGAATGGGATGCCCTGGATTAGAGACTTCCATCAGGTGAAGGGACAAAGGACACACTGTGTTGTCTTCACGTGGGAGCTGTCTTGACGTTCTAGAGTGCTCTTGTTTCTATGTGGTTAAAAACATAGAACAGAGCCTGGCGGTGGTGGCGCACGCTTTTAATCCCAGAGCAGAGGCAGGCGGATCTCTGTGAGTTCGAGGCCAGCCTGGTCTACAAGAGCTAGTTCCAGGACAGGAACCAAAAAGCTACAGAGAAACCCAGTCTTGAAAAATCAAAAAAAAAAAAAAAAAACCTAAAACAAACATAGAACAGGTTGGCAGGGTAGTTCAGTGGGTAAAGATGCCTGCCACCAAGTGGGAAAAGCATAGTAAAAGGAGACCACCAGCTCCCAAAGTTTCCCCCTGACCTTCTTATGCCACGCGTGACAGAATGCACTTGGTGTCTCCCCGATACCTAAATAACAGTATTTAAAAATCCAAACAGGTAGGTGCCACACACTTTGCTTATAGAATGCTGATTCATTTTCCTAACTGCTCCCAAAAATTATTACCGTATTTAGTATAGCGATAAACTAACATTAATAAATATTCCCGTATTTAGTTGAGAGATAAACTTAACACCTTGACCGAGGCATCTTACAGAAGGAAGGGTTTATTGGGGCTTGTGGGTCCAGAGAGATAAGAATCCTTCACCATTCCAGAGGACAACTGTGGCAGCAAGCAGACATGGAGCTGGAGCAGCAAGAGCGAGCACACATTTAGGAGTAGCACGTGGCTTTTAAAATCTCAAAACCCACGCCTAGTGACCTGCTTCCTGCAGCATGGCCTCCTAAGCTACCCAAACAGCACCATTACCCAGGGACCAAGTATTCCGATGTTTGAACCTATGGGGGCACCTCTCATTGAAACTACCCCAGACAGAAACATATTGAGAGAACTTAGATAATATGGAGCTGCTGCAGGGCCGAGGGAGGGAAACATCCTGTGCCTGCTTTCATTCCAAAGCCCAAACCCCTCATTCCAGTTTCTTTCCAAGCCTGGGAACCAAAACAACAGCAAGACCAAACAAACAAAAAATTGAGCCTGGGTCATAAGTCATGGTGTTAGGGTTTTATCTCGTGTTATTTATATTATTTTATTAGTATTATTTGTGGTACAAGGATGAGACCTGGGATCAAAACTTGGCATGACGTGATAGAGCTGTGTCCTCAGGAAGGTCTCCTCCTAATCTAGTTTTTCTACTTTATGGCCATCAACCATAATCTTAATTTTGACTTTAGAAAAGGTCTAGATGGGGCCGAGGCTTACGACAGTGACAGAATACTTGCTTGTTATGCGAGGGATCTGGGATATAATTTTCCACAATCCTTTTGTAAAGGAAATGTCAGCAGTCATTGGTGATGGCGCGCTCAGATGGAAGCGCGTCGCTGTTCTGCTCTGCCCACACAGCTTACTTTCCGTGTGGCTGGTTATTCTTTGAAGTGAGCCCTTTGTTCTCTTTCACAGGACTGTTGAACATGGGCAAAGAAGAGGCTTCTCTTGAGGAAGTCTTAGCCTATTTGAACCATATCTTCTGCGGGCCAATTTCTATTGAAACCGCACAGCTTCAGAGCCAGGAGGAGAAAGATTGGTTTGCCAGAAGGTTTGAGGAGCTGAAAAAGGAGTCGTTTACCACAGAAGAGCGAAAACACCTGGCAAAACTATTGCTAGAATCTCAGGTATAAAAAGTATCACGTAGGGGCTGGAGAGATGGTTAAGGGCACTTGCTGCTCTTCTAGACAACCCAGGTTCAATTCCCAGCACCCACACGGTGCCTCACAATTGTCTTTACCTCTGATTCCAGGGGACCCAATGCCTATGGCCTCTGAGGGCACCTGTGCTCATATGCACATACTGACATACAGATACATACAATTGTAAATAACTAGAAATGGTCAAAATAAATGTAGAAATAAGTATTAGCTAACATTAGTGGATCAAGTCTTCTCACTTCCTACAAAAATAGCTAGCTTCTGGGGAGAGGAAAGGAAGGCATTCGACCTGGCCCCTGTGTAGGGGCCATCATCCATTGCTTCAGCACATCAAACTGAACAGCAAGCAGAAGCAAAGCAGATCGCTAGACATTTGAGCTGTTGGTTTTCCTCAGCATCAAAGTATGTTAATGTATCCTCTGCTTATTTTTATAAAACTTAATAAAGTCCTTAAGATTGTGCTTCTCCTTTTGTTTCCTGGAGGGGTTTGATCAACTGCTCAGCAGAAGTTCTCATAGTCAATTAGTGGAAGGACGTCGTCACCAGGGCTGTGGGAAGGGCTTAGGCATGTCAAACTGAAAGGAAGTCATGCCCCTCCTCTTTGAGTAGTAGGACAGTGTTACACCTTGGTTAACGAATACTGTAGAGCCTCTGGGAGATCTGACGCCTTGGGCAAGGCAGCAGATAGCTAAGTCTGGCCTCAAGGCTGGAAAGACAAACACAGAAGGAGCTTGTTCCCAGACACGTGATTCTACCACTCAGGTTTTTCTCCTTACAGCTTCTTCTGTGTCAGGCCCTCAGCAGAGCTGTGCTGTACTGGGATGTCTGTCTCTGGGAATATGTAGTGAAAGGGCACATACATGACCTCTGGAGTAATGTGGGGCCTTCACACAGCACACAAAACTTACCTGCTTTTCGCCTGAGCACTTGTGGTCTTCCAGCAGCTAATATGTCTGTTCCACAGGAGTTTGACCACTTTTTGGCCACCAAGTTTGCCACAGTGAAGAGATATGGCGGTGAAGGGGCTGAGAGCATGATGGGATTTTTTCATGAGTTACTGAAGTCGTCAGCCTATGGCGGTATAACTGATGTCATTATTGGGATGCCCCATAGAGGGAGGCTTAATTTGTTGACAGGCCTTCTGCAGTTACCTCCAGAGGTAAGATTTCTTTCTATGTTTTTGTTGTTGTTGTTCTTTGTTTCTTCTTAATGTTCATGTGTTCTTATAATAATTTTTTAGCTTTTTAAAAAATTATGCTATAATCTGCCTGGTGGTGGTGGCACACACCTTTAATCCCAGCACTCAGGAGGCAGAGGCAGGTGGATCTCTGAGTTCAAGGCCAGCCTGGTCTACAAGAGCTAGTTCCAGGACAGGTTCCAAAGCTACAAAGAAACCCTGTTTTGAAAAACCAATACACACACACACACACACACATATATATAATCACATCATTTTTCTCCTTCCTTTTTCATCCTCCATCCCCTCCCATGTACCTCCTTGTTTCTTTCAAATTTACAGCCTCATTTTCTCTACACACACCCTACCCTACCCTACCCTACCCCATACTTAAACACTCCAAAGTACACCATGCAACCTGCACCGTTGTATAATGTTACATGTATGTATCTCATTTTAAGGCTAACTACTTGGTATTGGATAACCACATGGAGGCTTTTTCCTGAGAGGAGACCATTTCTCTCACTCCCCCAGTTGCCTGCGGTTGTTTGTTGAGGCCCCTAGAGCATCCCTCTTTCCCTGTTAGCATGCTCATTGGTGTTCAAGTCTTGTTCAGGTGGCCATACTGTGGAGACTTCATGGATGTAGCTTTTCTGACATTTCTAGGAGATGTTCTGTGATTCTTATCAGTGTAGGACTGGAGCAAAATAAACCTGATGGTGGTAATTTCCTTTAGAAGCCAATGGAGCCTCTGAGCAGTTGGTTGGGAGATAGCTTAGTGAATGGGTGGGAACTTAGTGCTGACAGGTAGGACTGAAGTTGGTTTTCCTGTAATGTTCTCAGGGATTCTTTCTTCCAGCAGGGAAATTAAAGGTTAGTTTGCTTCTTCAACATGCATGGTGGTCAAGGAACGATAAGGAAAGTTGTCCTCTGCCCTCCCCATCTCAACAAACGCACACGCACATGTACGCACACACGCACACGCGCGCGCGCGCACACACACACATACACCACATCGTATTACATCACATAAAGGAAAAAGAAAGTACCTGGTGGATCACAGCACAGCATTGTCATCAACAGCATTGCCACAAAACTTAGGCTGCAGCTCCCACAGAATTGGGCGTGTCTCAGTTACTTTCCTGTTGCTGTGAAGAGACACCATGATCAGGGCAACTTATAGAGGAATTTATTGGTGGCTTGCTTACTGGTTCAGTGGGTAAGTCCACAACCATCGTAGTAGGGACCAAAGTGGCAGACAGGCAGGCAGGCATGATGCTGGAGCAGTAGTTGAGTGCTTACTTCTGATGCACAAGCACAAAGCAGTCAGACAGCTAACTGGGGATGGCTTAGCTTTTGAAATCTCAAAGCTTAGCCTCCAGTGACACACCTCCTCCAACAAGGACACACCTCCTAATTCGTCCCAGACTATTCCACCAAATGGGGACCCATGTGTGGGGAGAAGCCCCAGTAGCATGCCTTGTTCAGCTCCATCTTGCAGGACATAGATACCAAAGAACTACACAGTGGCACTATGTACTACCAGTGTTTAGAGTGCATGGGGTGCACCCCAAAAGCCTCGACTAAAGGTTCTCCATCACTTCGAGTATACTGTACTGCAGAGCTTACCTGGGAGGGGGCACATCTGGAGCTGGGAGCAGGGCCCTCCATCCATAACTCTGGGATCTTCTTTCTCTCTGACCTCTGGACCACACCTAACTTCTCCCAGTATGCTCAGAATCCTGATGTGGAGGCGATAAAGTAGAATTTTAGACTTTTTTTCTGCAATGTGGTCATAAGCATCTTCTCAAACTGAAGCCTCCCATGTGTTGGAAAGTGCACAGCCCTCTCCACAGGGAGTGCTTCACCTTTCTCCTTGTCAACCAGGGTGTGTGCATCCCTGGGAATTATCAGAAATACCGTGGATGGACTGCTGTCTTGGGAACAGTGTTTTTGGGAAATGCTCCTCTCTGTGCTGAGCCCTAAGACTGTGATCACAGAGCACTGTGGGCCCACCAGCTTCCATGGGTGTTTCCTATGTCTCAATACTCTGTATGTGAGCTGGTAGGGGGGTGAATCAGCCAAGAGCAGAAGGCAGCTGCTTGGTCTTTGACTCCTCCTTCCTTGTGTGATATATTCCATGAAAGTTCAACCAAGGATAACTGGGTGTTCATGGTGGGTCTATGATATGTCAACACCACAGCCACCAAGAAGGCCCTCAGTTTCATCTTTGGTCCAGCATGATGAGAACATTTCCAATGCTGGAGCCTGCAAGAGGGGCCCAGGAGGACTGCTGGGCAGTCCAGCCCTGAACCTATGCTCAGAACCAGCCTCAGCCAGGTACTCTCCACGAGGCTTCCTGTCGTGGCAGGACCTTCTTTCCTCCTGTTACTGTACAGGAAAACACTTAGTATATGCTTCCTAGGTTTATTTTCTCTTCCAATTCTTTGTGAAGATTCTTTTCTAGCCTGCAGTGAGTTCCTTTGGCAGTGGCCAGGTTTCATGTTCTCCTCAGTTCATGATGTGGTCCTGTTTGATTTTTTTTCAGTGTTCCAGAGCTAGGGACACCAAGGGAAACTTTCCTGCGTTAGGGTGGGAACAGCCTGTAGCTCACACTTCCAGCTGGCTAGGAGAGGCATAAACAACCTGTCACCATCACCCTTAACTGAGACCTGTCTGGGTTATGGTAGCAGGGATTCTTGACTGGAGGGACTAGGAACTTCCTATACAGCCGACGGTGACTGGAGAGCTGAGTAAGGGCTTCTGGTTACCCACAGAATGGGGATCTGCTTACCTCACTGCCTACTGAAACCCTAGTGCCTGACCAGGCCTAGGAATACCCCATTGCTAGACTTTGAGCCTACTGGGGTGTCTGGTGGAAACCACCTTCCAGCCACGTTTCAGGGAAGTGTTTTTCTGGCTGAAGGGGTCCCAGATATGACTAGAGTACCCACTTTGCTTTTTTTTTTTCTTTTGAGTTTTTAATCCCTCTGCACATAAATGTTCAAATGCTAGGTTCAGGGACAGTGGAAAAGTCAGTTGTGTGTCTCTGCCATTGTGCAGATAACCCAAACCAGTGCGTGTGTGTGTGTGTGCGCGTGCGCCTATCTTTGAATAAGGTATGTTTGTAATAACTATAAAAGAATTTACATATTGCTAATCTTTCTTGAAGCTCACCTTAGACTTTACTGTAATAAGACTTGCTTGATATCTTGTATGTTTGTTCTAATAGCTGATGTTCCGTAAAATGCGAGGTTTAAGTGAATTTCCAGAAAACGTCTCAGCCATTGGAGATGTCCTGTCCCATCTGACCTCCTCGGTGGACCTAGACTTTGGTGCCCACCGTCCCCTCCATGTGACAATGCTGCCTAATCCCTCTCATCTGGAAGCCGTTAACCCTGTGGCTGTCGGGAAGACTCGCGGCAGGCAGCAGTCTCGGGGAGAGGGGGACTACTCACTGCACGGTTCTGCTCAGCCTGGGGACAGAGTCATTTGCCTGCAGGTACTTGAGTTTGGGAAAGGGGGAAAACTGAAAATAACATTGTCTGGGTTGGCAAATGTGACAGATGTTCCAGTGGAAAGTGAAGTGACGTGACAGCTTTAGAAAAGAGGATTCTGGGGCTTTTCTTTCTAAAAATTTCCACGATATGTTTATTATTTTCGGCAGGTTTAGAGAAAAGCTCCCCACCCTAGCCACCTTGTCTACCAAATTTCATAGTGATAATATGATGTAGTGGCTTTGTATATTCTAAAAGATTAGCATGTTTTAGATATCCCTTCATAATAATATTTTGCTTTTCTGCTTATATGTGATTTTCTTCCTGCGCCTTGGCTTTAACACGTGCCATCACCTTGCTCTCTTATATTCATGAGAAGAGCAGGCTTTGGTGATGGGAGCTACTTCTCTGTCTCTTTTCAGGCGTGAGTGACTGGAGAGAAGAGTTCAGAGGTGTGCACTGTTCCTCATAGGCTTGTATGTGTGTGATGTGTGTGGGTGTACGCGTGCCACAGTGCATGTGGAGGGCAGAGGACAATTTTATGGAGTCAGTTCTGTCTTTTTACCTTTATCTGCGTTCCAGAGGTCCAACTCAGGTTTGTGAGGTAAGCACCTTTACCCTCTGGCATCTATCTCATGGTCCTGTTTCTCATATCTTAAGGCTATTTTCTTGCACAATTTCCTGGCGCTGAATCGGGACCTGTAGCTCAGTGGTAGAGTGCTTGCCTAGGAGGCAGGAGACCCTGGGTTCAATCCCTAGCTCAGGACAAAGTCAACAGTGATGCTTTCATTGCATATGTATAGCCGTCCCTCCCATAGTGCTGCTGCTACAGATGCTGGGATGTCTGGGGAGTCCATGAGTTGGATGCAGGGGTGGGGTGGGTGAAGTGGTACAGTGTTAGCAGGGAAAGCTGAGAAGGCATCTTTGAAAAGGGATCAGCTTAAACACACTAAGAAATCCTGCAACGTATATCTTTTTAGGTCAGGAGAGTCATGAGACAGTGGTTGTTGGTATTCCAGTTAATATTTTTGAACGGCTGGTTTCAATCAGTAAAATCTAAGTCTGTTAATTCCTTATTTCCTCTATCTCGCACGTGTTTTAGGTTCATGGTGATGCGTCCTTCTGTGGCCAAGGGATTGTCCTTGAAACGTTCACGCTCTCTAACCTCCCACATTTCAGAGTTGGTGGGAGTATCCACCTAATCGTCAACAACCAGCTGGGCTACACCACGCCAGCGGAGAGAGGAAGGTCTTCCTTATACAGCAGTGATATTGGTAAGTAGCATGCTAGATTGGCATTGCTATGTCAACCAGACAGGGAACTGGCAGAGGAAAAACTTCTAGTTCATTCAGAGCAATGAGTCTTGCCGGTTATCCCATTTTCGTCTTTATTTTAAACAAGGCTTCATCATAACTGACCCGGAGATTGTTTCATTGTTGTTTTGGTTTTTTCTTTTGTTTTTTGAAACAGGGTTGTGTAATGGGGATTGTTATTATGTAAACCAGATTGGCCTGGAACTCATAGAGATCCACCTGCCTCTTCCTCCTTGTCTTAGTTATTGTTCTATTGCTACACACCATGACCAAAGTAACTTACAAAAGAAAACCTTTAACTGGAGGCTTGGTTACAGTTTCAGCTGGTGAGTCCATGACCAGCAGTGTGGGACTCAGGACAAGAGGCAGACAGGCATGGCATTGGAGCAGTAGCTGAGAACTCACGTCTGATCCACAAGCCTGTGGCAGAGAGAGTGAGAGACTGGGCCTAGCATGGGCTTTTGAGAGCCCACCTCTACTGACAAACCTTTCCAACAAGGCCACACCTCCTAATCCTTCTTAAACAGTTCACCAACTGGGAACCAAACACTGAAACATATGAACCGATGGGGGCCTTTCTCAGTCAAAATACCACGCTCTCAAGTGCTGGAATTAAAGGTGTTGTCACCACTACCAACCATTTTAAATTTTTGAAGTTGGATATGGTCGGTCAGTAGTTGTCAAAAGGTACCAAATTAACATTCATTTTTAGTTTGCGTATGCTATTTGTTTATTTTATACGATGTTAGTTGACACAAGGCATCATAAAGGGTAGGCAAGCTCTCTGCTACAGAACTGCATTAGTATGCTATGCATACTAGGCAAACACTGTTCCACAGAGGTACACTTCTGCCTCAAGTGTGAGCTCTTAAGTCAGAGGAACTGAGAGTGTCCAATCCCGTATTGCTCCATAGTCAGTTGAATTATCTGGTAGAAACCAAAGAGCGGTGTACTTGGTACAATTCTAAAGTAATTACCTTTGGACTATTCAAACTTAAGAGTGTTCAGAGTCTCAGTAAAAAGGCTGTGTTCACTAGGTAAATTTGCTAAAATGCCCTAGTTGGAAGTAAATTGTAGCTAGCCCATAGTGGCTCATGCTTTTAATCCCAGCTTTTAATCTCGGAAGGCAGAGGCAGGAGGATCTCTGTGAGTTCAAAGCCAACCTGGTCTATAGAGCAAGTTCTAGGACAGACAGGGCTACACAGAGAAGCCATGTATCCAAAAAAAATGTTGTAAAGGATCAAAGTCAGTTTATTTTAATCAGTGGAAATAATAGCCTTACCACAAATAAGGGATTTTATTGTCCACTCATAGTCCTCAAAACTGTTACAGGCACTGTCAGCAGTTTTATAACTGGAGTCTGGACTAGATGCCTTTTAAATCGTCTGGCACAGGAAAAATACTTTAAGAATTCTTGGGAGAAAAATCTTTTCCTAGGATTCGTGCCTCAATGACCTATTGTCTCAGGAGGAAAGATAATAATAATAATAATAACAATAACAAAATAAATGTTAACTGTCACTGTATAAGACACTGTGAAACACAGACACTGTATTCCTTAGTTCAGGAAATCTTGACAACGTCACTCAGAGCCTAGATGAGACCCAATTATTAATTTATTTTCAAATTTTTATATTCTTTATTTTATGTTATGCCTGCTTGTATGACTGTGCGCCACATGTACACAGTAGCCATGGAGACCAAAAGAGAGTGTTGGGTCCCATGGGGACTGGCATTACAGACAGCTGTGAGTTACCGTGTGGGTACTGGGCCTCAAACCCAGGTCCTCAGGACCAACATCAGTCTCTTAACCGTGCTCTCTAGCTTCTAGACTGAGATTTCTACCTTTCCCAACGTCACATAGTCAGTCATAGAGCTGAGTCTGGTCAGCTGAACTCTAAAGTTTGTATTCTTCACACCCAGGCTAAACTACCTCTGCATTTCAGGGCTGTCTTCCTACTTAGTCAAATAGGTGTGTTGGGAAATAACTAATATTAGCCCGTGTTAACTGACTTTTTTTTTTTTTTAAATCTGGGTCTTACCTTCTTTAGGAAAGCCCGTAGGCTGTGCCATCATCCACGTCAACGGGGACAGTCCAGAGGAAGTGGTCCGAGCCACGAGACTTGCTTTTGAATATCAGCGCCAGTTCCGAAAGGATGTGATTATTGATTTGTTATGCTATAGGCAGTGGGGCCATAATGAGCTGGATGAACCTTTCTTCACCAACCCAGTCATGTATAAGATCATCAGGTACCGTTAGAAACCTTCCTTTAATAACAGGCTAACCTGCTCCTCCTCAATCAATCAATCAATCAATCAATCATTTTTTGTGGTGGTGGAGGTCCAAGTTAGAGCCATGTGAATGCTAGGCGTGTGTGTGTGTGTGTGTGTGTGTGTGTGTGTGTGTGCAGACATGCGCACATCTGTGGAGGTCAGAGGACAACTTATGGCAGCTGTCCTCTCTATGTTGGTCCTTTGGAACAAACCTAGGTGCCCAGAATTGGCTGAACCATCTTTCTAGCCTGCACCCCCATTGTTGTTGCCTTCTGGACAAACCCAGGTGCCCAGAATTGGCTGAACCATCTTTCTAGCCTGCACCCCCATTGTTGTTGCCTTCTGGATTTTTTGGGGGGGTGGGGGCGGAGGCTGAGACATGGTTTCTCTATGTATCCTAGGCTGTCCTGGAACTCACTCTGTAGACCAAGCTGACCTCAAACTCACAGAGACCCACCTGCTTCTGCCTCCTAAGTGCTAGGACTAAAGGGGGTGCCACCACTGCCTGGCTCCAATGTCTGTTAGATACTTTGAAGTGGGATGAACATCTAAACTGTGCCTGTCCCAGAGAAACCAGAGTGGCCATCTTACAAGGCTCGGAGGTCCCTGCATTCTTCACACTTCATGTCTCCTCATTAAGTAGAGAATGGACCACCTTACTTACTTAACAGATAGCAAGACTAGGTAAGAAGACTGGGTGAAACCTTGCTTGAGGCTAGTTAGTAATACTCCGGTAGGATCAGGAGTAGGACTTCCATGGTTCATTTCTGTAAACTGTTGTACCAAAGGAGCTGCTTCTACTTTAAGAGGAAATAGCTCAAGAAATTGTATTTTAATTTGTGTATAGGTAGGTTGGGCAGAGAAGTCAAATCATCTCAGGAATGCCACTTCCTCCTTTGACACAGGATGTTTTAGTGGCCAAGAGTTTACCAATTAGGTTAGACTAGCTGGCATCCAGCAGTTTTATCTTATTTTATGTGTGTTTGTTTCTCTGTGTGAATATGTACACACTACACATGTGTGTGAGCAGGCTACCACAGAGGCTAAAAGAGGGTGTCTTGTCTCTTAGAGCTGGAGTTACAGGCGTTTGTGAGCCACCGGACATAGATGCTGAGATCCGAACTCAGTTCCTCATGAGAGAGCAGCAAACTCTTCTAAGCTCTTGAGGTGTATCTCCAGCTCCCTGAAATATTCTGAAAAGAACAACTCTGTAACATTTACTATTTTAGTGTTTTACAACCACCATCTCTATCTAGTTCCAGAACATTTCTTAAGTGACTTTCAAAGTGGATAAAACATCCTGCAGTACCCGTGGCAATGATTATCTCTTAGCATTGTGTGTATTTATTTTATTTTATTTTTTAAAGAAGAGACACAAGAACCCAAGAACAATGGCAATGGGTTTTTGATCCTACTGCACGTATTGGCTTTGTGGGAGCCTAGACAGTTTGGATGCTCACCTTACTAGACCTGGCCGGAGGTGGGTGGTCCTTGGACTTCCCACAGGGCAGGAAACCCTGATTGCTCTTTGGGCTGACGAGGGAGGGGGACTTGACCGGGGGAGGGGGAGGGAAATGGGAGGCGGCGGTGGGGAAGAGACAGAAATCTTTAATAAATGAATAAATAAAATAAAGAAATAAAAAAGCTAAAGCAGTAAAAAAAGAAAAAAAGAGACACAATTTTTTAATATTTATTTATTTATTTATTTATTTATTATATATACAATATTCTGTCTGTATGTATGCCTGCTGGGCAGAAGAGGGCACCAGACCTCATTACAGATGGTTGTGAGCCACCATGTGGTTGCTGGGAATTGAACTCAGGACCTTTGGAAGAGCAGGCAATGCTCTTAACCTCTGAGCCATCTCTCCAGCTCGCATTGTGTGTATTTGATTGACCATGTCTCCATTCCCCCACTCCCCGCCTCTCTCCAACAGAGCCCGGAAGAGCATCCCTGACACCTATGCGGAGCACCTCATTGCCAGTGGACTCCTGACCCAGGAGGAGGTCTCTGGCATAAAAGCCTCCTACTACACCAAGTTAAATGACCACTTAACCAATGCGGCCCACTACAGCCCCCAGGCCACTAACCTGCAGGCCCACTGGCAGGGCCTGGCACAGCCAGAAGCACGCATCACCACCTGGGACACAGGTGTGCCCCTCGACCTCCTTCACTTTATTGGTGTGAAGTCCGTGGAGGTCCCAGAGGAGCTGCAACTACACAGCCACCTTCTCAAGATGTATGTTCAGGTGGGAAGCCTTGATGTCGCCTTCCGCTGCTTTTTATCTTTGCTCGGCAAAGCAGATGTGTCGTTTTGATGCCTTTGGTTGCCAGTTTGAGAATTATTTGATGTTTGTTACTAGGTTGTAGCAACTGATCCTCGTGGTTTTTTTCTTTGTTTTTTGTTTGTTTGTTTGTTTGTTTGTTTGTTTGTTTGTTTGTTTCGAGATAAGGTTTCTCTGTAGCTTTGGAACATGTCCTGGAACTAGCTCTTGTAGACCAGGCTTGCCTCAAACTCACAGAGATCCGCCTGCCTCTGCCTCCTGAGTGCCCAGCTCTTCGTGTTTTAAAGCTGTGATTTAGTCAGTTCAGATTTTCTCTACTTGTGTTTTCCTCCATAGGAATTTTGTGTGTGTTGAATACATTATATATGCTAGAAATGCATGCTCCTTTTTAAAAAGTACAGAAATGTGTCTGATTTTTCTAACTAGTGGACAGAAAACACTATGATTTGTTGTAATAGGAGCGGTGGGCTACTTCCCCGGCACCCAGCCGCCCGCATGGCTAGCTTTACCCGAAATAATTACACGGAAACTGTATTCTTTTAAACACTGCCTGGCCCACTAGCTCCAGCCTCTCATTGGCTAGCTCTTAGATATCGATCTAACCCATTTCTAATATCCCTGTAACACCACGAGGTGTCTTACCAGGGAAGATCTTAACCTGAGTCTGTGTCCGGTAGGAGAATCATGGTGACTCCCTGACTCAGCTTCTTTCTCCCAGCATTCTGTTCTGTTTACTCCACCCACCTAAGGGTGGGCCTATCAAATGGGCTAAGGCAGTTTCTTTATTAATTAACCAATGAAAGCAACAGATTAGAAAGAAGTCACTTCCACATCAATGATTCCTTCAGGTAGATTAAATAAAATAATAACAGCCAACACATGTACCTGAAAGGTGACCATTTATACCCATACCTTTGTTTTTAAGTTTTTATTTTTGCCGAACTCTTTAATTTTTTAAATTTCATGCACATCAGTGTTTTGCCTACATGTATGTCTGTGAGGGTGTCAGATCCTCTGGAACTGGAGTTTACAAATAGTTGTGAGCTACCATGTGGGTACTGGAAATTGAACCCAGGTCCTCAGGAAGAGCAGCTAGTGCTCTTAACTGCTGAACCATCTGTCCTGGCCTATTTTAGCAGAACTTTTACAAACAAAATGCACTCACCATCTAGCCTAAATAGAAAATTTGGGGCTGGAGAGAAGGTTTAGCAGTTAAGAGCCCTGGCTGCTCCTTCCTAGGATCCAGGTTCAGTTCCCAGTACCCATATGGTGGTTACTGTCTGTAGCTCCAGTTTCAGGGATCTGACCCCTGTTCTGTTTTCGGTGGGCATCAGGCACGCACATGGTTTACATATATACATACATGTAAGCAAAACACTCATACATGTAAAATAAAATAAAAAATAAATCTTTTTAAACAAATAAACAAAACATTACAAATAAAGTTTCTTCTCTGCTTCCATCTGCTCAAACCTCAGCAGAGGTGACCACTTATTTTGCCTGTTTTAAAACTGTGTATAACATGTGGGGTGTTTGCCTACCAGATGTAAAGCCCTACGTTCATCCTATAATGTTGCAGAAAAAAAGACAAAGAAAAGAAAAAATGGAAAAGGATATTTAAAAAAAATTTTTGATAGATTTATTCATTTTATTTTATGTGTGTGATTGTTTTCCCACATATACACATATGTGCTACATTCATGCATGGTACCTGTGCAGGTCAGATGAGGATCTCAGATCCCCTGGAACTGGAATTACAGATGGTTGTGTATCACCATGTGGATGTGGGTAATCAAACCTGGGTCTTCTGCAAGAGCCAGAAGTATCCTTAACTGCTAAGTCATCTCTCTAGCCATCAGGATATGGATACTTAAAAGTTTGTTTTATATCTTTTCCTTATTTTTTTCAGTCAAGGATGGAGAAGGTGAAGCAGGGAACAGCTTTGGACTGGGCCACAGCAGAAACCCTTGCCTTGGGCTCCTTACTTGCTCAAGGTAAGGCATTTCCATTTAGCTGCACAGCTGGTAGGAGATGCTCCGAGCTGTACTTGTTACTCGTGATATTCTGAGTTTCGGTGACCACTTGTCACTTTTGTTGGTTAGAGGGCTTTTAAAATATAAAAAATAAAATAATAGTAGTAATTCTAACAATACTCCTTAGTTATAAGGCACATTGAACACTTTCATCCGCGTATAGACAAGGTTGCAGCCGTAACTGGGATCCACAGGGCTCACTCCTGGCTGTACTGGAAAGCTATTTCTCTAAAAACTGTATGGCCAGAAATGACTCTCCATCCTTACAAGTTTTACACTGCCTATGTGTCTTCAAGTATAAGAAAGATATATACATATATTCACATACAGAGATGTACTGCTTTTAATTATGTATATTTGTGTGTCTCGGTGTGGGTCTGTGTACATACTAGTGCCCAAGGAGGTCAGAGTCTTCAGATCCCTCTGTAGCTGGACTTACAGGCATTTGTAAGCAGCTTCATATGGGCACTGGGAACTGAACTCAGAAGAGCAGCAAGTGCTCTTCACCAGTGAACCAGCATCAGGAAAGGTGTATTTTAATTGGGAGAATGTATTATCCTAAGGAAAATGCACACCCTGAAGAATGAGCCAGTGTATGATATCAGATAGCTGTGTGTGACAGGACATAGCTATAGCCAAGTTCCGCATGAGACTGAACCTAAGAGTTCAAGACCAGTGTGGACAGCATTGAGAGAAATTTGTCTTAAAACAAAAAGGCATTTTTTTTTGCTATATCTTATTTTTGTGCTGTTTATTCAGAGCAATCTTTTTTCTTCCCCCGCTTGCTTGTTTCAGGTTTCAATGTTCGTCTGAGTGGCCAAGATGTTGGCCGTGGAACTTTCAGTCAAAGGCACGCCATGGTGGTTTGCCAGAACACAGATGATGCCTACATTCCTCTGAACCACATGGACCCGAGTCAGAAAGGGTTTCTGGAGGTAAGACATTCATACATAAACCCCGTGTACTGGTGTGCTGACTCTTACAGTTACAAGGTTTGATTTGATTCGTGGTTTTGAGATGGAGTCCTACATAGCCCAGGCTGCCCTCAAATTCCTCAGTACCTGAAGATGATCTTAAATTCCTCTTGATCCTTCTGACTCTACTTCAAGTGCTGGGGGCTATAGGCCTGCACCATCCCACCCCGCAGGTGGAGGAGTTTTAAAGCAACTCAATTCGGATGTCAGAAACTTTATGTTCAACACTTCTTTTTAGATAAAGGAATGCAATGGAGGTCTATAAATTTGGACTGGAAGAGACAGATAAGAGCCGTGCTGGAGCTGGCACTTGAAGACTAGAGCTTAACTGGGCCGCCTATCTGTAATTGTGTGATATCACCTAGATATGAATTCTGTCAAGTTAAAATCAACATTGCAGCCTGTAAGCTATTGCGATTTGTTAAACTTAGAGTTGTGGAGAGTAAACAAATATTTCTAGCCTGCTAAATCAAAACAAAATGCAGCAAAAACACTTCCTCCAGGTCATGCTGCTCCCTAAAATTTAATAGACATTTCTTTGGGTTGTTAAGATCTTAAGAACAGGGTCTTTTCATTTTTGTTTCTTCGACAGTTACTTTAGTGAACAGCACATGATATTTATGAAAACAAATTATCCCTTTAAGGTAAACTTAATAACTTGTCACCTTCTTTCCTATTCCAGTTGTTGGTTTGAGAATATAATCTGTGTGTTTAGGGGGGGCTGGAAGACAGCTCAGTCAGTAAAGTGTTTCCTACTTTATGGGGCATGAGTTCAGTCCCCAGTACACAGTAAAAAGGCAGGCATGGCAGTCCCAGCACTAGAGAGGTAAAGATAGGAGGATCGGGGCCTTACTTGTCAGCCAGTCTAGCTGAATCTGTGAACTTCAGGTCCAGTGAGATAGTCTATCTCAAGAAATAAGGTGGGAGCCAGGCTGTGGTGGCACAGGCCTTTAATCCCAGGTAGAAGAAGGTGAATCTCTGTGAGTCCAAGGCCAACCTGGTCCACAGAGTGAGTTCCAGGACAGACTCCAAAGCTATACAGAAAAACCCCCGTCTCAAAAAAACCAAAAGAGGGGGGTGGGGAGTGGTGGAGGAAGATGTGGGATTTCAAGGTGACTTGAAGGAGGAGATGCATCCCTTTCTTCATTTTTTTTTTTTTAGAATCTGTCTTTGTATGTATCAGTCAGATTTATGAACCAGGATAGAAGTATTTAGTGTCCCCGCACCTCATATCAGGCTTTCACTGGACTGTGATTTGGCATGTAGTATCAGTTTTGATACATTGCAGGTCATGGCGCACATGCCATTGCTCCTGTTTAATCAGGTAGTGATGAGGGAAACCAGTCCCTGGTGTAGAGTTGCTGAGCTAGGATGCTCCCTCATTAGATGCTAAGTGTACTTTTGACATATTGTCACACCCTAAAGAATGAGTCAGTGTATGACAATCAGATAGCTGTGTGTGATAGTACATATCTATAGCCAAGTTCCACAGGAAACCGAGCCCAGGAGTTCAAGACCACTGTGGACAGCGTTGAGAGATTTTTGTCTTGAAACAAAAGGACTCCTTTATTTGTATGTGTATGAGTGCTTTGTCTGTGTGTATGTCTGTGTGCCTGGTACCTAAGAAGGCTGCGAGAGGACATTGGCTCTCCTAAAACTGGAATTACAGGCAATTGTGAGCCACTATATGGATGTTGGGAAATGAACCCAGGTCCTCTGGAAGAACAGCCAGTGCTCTTAACCCCTGAGCTATGTTTCTAGCCCAGAGGGCTTATAGTATTTTCAAACCAATAAACTGGGTTTTTTGGAACATGACCCCATCACAAGTCACAGAGCAAGTATACTTACAGAGAGGGTGGATAAAAGTAACTAAGAGTTGAAGACAAATTGATTGAGTTACTTTCTAGAAGGTTGAAAAGAAGTGAATAAAATGGCTATAAGGAGCTCAAGTCGGGAGTACTTTTTGTTTTATTTTTAAGCATTTGATGGTCTCATTGTTGAGGTAAAGTTCAGAAAGGAGGAATTAGGTAACAGAGCCAGGACCTGGGAGGAACAGAAGGAAGTGAGGGATTGAGAATGAGTGGGCATGCCAGTCTTGGAGAGAAAGGAAGGGGAAGGAGGAAGTGAGAGCAGAGAGAGATGCATGCAACACGCCTGGGCTAACATGCATTCATAACACACATCAACCTAAAACCTGAAGTCAGAATGCACACACATCCAGCAGGTGAGCTAAGCATGATCCACCCACCATGCTCGAAGATAATCCAGTGACATTTTTATGTTTGCCATTTAGTTCTTATCTCTATAAATCACATTTTATAGCTGTAATTAGAAATTATATAATTTCTGTGTGTGTGTGTGTGTTTGTGTATACGTGTTTGTGTTCTAGTTTGGTTTCTATTGCTTGATAAACACCATGACCAAAAGAAACTTGAGGAAGAAAGCCTTACATGTCCCAGCTATAGTCCATCACTGAGGAAAACTGAGGCTTGTTAATAGCCTGTTCCCGTGGTTTGCTCATAGTCTAGGCCCACCTGTCCAGGGACAGTGCCACCCACAGTGGGATAGTCCCCCTAAATCAATTAGCAATTAAGAAAATGCCTCACAGATATGGCCACAGGTCAGTCCAATACAGACAGTTTCTTAATTGAGGTTCCCTCTTCTAAGGTGACTCTAGTTTGTATTACATTGACAAAAACTACCCACCACATTGTGTGTGTGCGTGAGCATGCTTACATATACGTGTGCAGACCCGAGAACAAGCTTGGGTGTTGTCTTTGAAGTGCCACCCACATCTCCTTTCTTGAGATGTGATCTCTCACTGGCTAAGTATGCCAGGCTGACTGACCAGGGAGCTCCAGGAGGCACCCGCCTCTACCACCTCAGCTCTAGGATTGCAAACGCCTAGTTTTTTTTTTTTTAAACCAGGGATAACTCAGGTCCTTGTGCATGGTAACACTCTACTGACTGAGCTATCTCGCAAGCCCTCTGGAGTTGTTGATTTGTTAAAGGTTTTGTTGAAATACAACTCAGAATCTGACCCTTGAGTGTGTATAGTTCAGCAATGAGACCCACCACTGTTTGGTTTCAGAAGACTTTCATCTCCTCAAGGAAACACTGTTAACTCTCAGCACCTGTCTCCCATTCATCCTCCCTCTAATTGCTGGCAGCTGCTAGTCAGTTGACTGTTTTAATGGATTTATCTGTCTCAGGAAGCTCATGTACATAGGTGGTGTAGGAGGTCCTTCTGTATTTGTATTGTTTTCATTGGTTATTAAAGAAACTGCCTTGGCCTAGTCGATAGGGCGGAACTCAGGTAGTCGGGGGAAGACAGAACTGAATGCTGGAAAGAAGGACAGACAGGCAGACACCATGGTTCTCCTGCCTGAGACAGATGCTGGTTAGACTCATGCCGGTAAGCCACAGTCAAGTGGCGATACACATTAATGGAGATGGGTTAAACTAATATGTGAGAGTTAGCCAATATGAGGCTAGAGATAATGGGCCAGGCAGTAATTTAATTAATACAATTTCTGTGTAGTTATTTCGGGGGTTAAGATAGCTGGGTAACAGGATGCAGTTGGCTCCTACTACTACACGTAGGCTGATATATTCCCTTCTATGACATTAATTTGACATATTATTAGTATTTTCAAGGCCTATGTATGCTGTCATGTTTGTCAGTACTTCATTGCTTTTCATTGCCAAAAAAATATTCCATGGAGATGTAACATTAAAAAATTGGAAAAAAGAAAAGTTGGAACAAGATGAGTATGGTGGCTCATGCCTACGATTCTAGGAATCTAGAAGGTAAAACATGAGGATCCCCATGAGTTTGAGGCCAGCTACATAACAGGTTCAAGACCATCTTGGGCTGCAGAGTGAGACCTTATCTCAAAAAAACATTCTGAAACAAATAGAGAATTATATTTTAAATTGTATATATAAAAGAAGAGCAAACTGCCAACGTAACACCCGCAATTTGTGTTTGCTTCCACCAAAGGCATCCTCCTGCATCACTCAGCATAGCCAGTGCCATTTTTTCTCCCATCTTTCTCAAGTGCACTCTAGAATCTTGCTGCATTAACTCTCAGCAGGGTGCTTCTTTCCACTCCTCAACGATGAAATAGTTTCTGCTTTGTCAATCTCACCACGATGGCTCTTTTGGTCTCTACAAATCAGATGTTACAGCAACAGTCTAACCAAAGGTAGACCTTCATACTATAACTTTTCCATCTTTGTTTTATGATATCTTTGAAAAATGTGGCAGTTTTATTTTCTGGTTAAATGTGTATCATATGAGAAGAATTGCTTATTCTTGAAATTTTTTATTACATTTTTGTGGGGAGGGGCGGGGATGTGACAGGACAACTTTCAGGAGTCTGTTCTCTCATCTTCTGGGTTCCAGCGATTGAACTCAGGTTCTGAGGCTTAGTGATACCTTCTTAACTATCTTGCTATCCCCCCAAGTAGCTCTCTTCCCCTCCTTTTTCCCATTATTTTTCAGTGGTGGTGCTGGGTTTTGAACCCAGGACCTTGTGAATGCTATGCAAGTACTCTACCACTGTGCCATTTCCTAGCCCTGTACAACTTATTTTTGAAGAAATTCTTGAATGACTGTATTCCAATGTCTTCTACTCTTTGTCCTGACTTTCTCCAAGTGTGCCAGTGACACTGAGCAGTAGGTCTCCTTTTGCAAAGGAAAGGTGATGAGCGAGAGCCGTGCTCCCTTCCACGCCCTCCTCCTCTTGAGAGGTTTGTATCCTGGTGGTGCTTTACTTTTGCTGGCTCCTCCCAGATGTCTCAGGCACATCAGTGTCTGATTCTCTTCCTCGCTCTTAGGTTAGCAACAGCCCGCTGTCAGAAGAGGCTGTCCTGGGGTTTGAATATGGAATGAGCATTGAGAGCCCAAAGTTGCTGCCCCTCTGGGAAGCTCAGTTTGGTGATTTCTTCAATGGAGCCCAGATCATCTTTGACACATTCATCTCTGGAGGTTGGTGTTAGTGAGTGGCTGGGTGGTGGGTGGGTCCAGTCTCATATAAGTAAATGGGAAGTGGCCATCACTGCCTCTGAAACTCTCTGTACCACACCATCTCCAGAGAGTTTGGGGGATTTCCCTGTTATCTACAGGCAGTGACAGCCTTCGGGCAAACAGCTTAGTGAGCTTCTGGGAAGAGTATCTTTGCTTTCTGTCAGCTTTTCATTGTCCCCCAATCCTAAGGGCTGCGTCTAGTTGCAGGCAGCTCTTGGCTATGCGGTTCTGCACCCGCTCTTGGAGTGTTGAGCAGCTTGATTAGCCAGCATCCTGAGGTGACATAGTGACGCTTTATGGTTGAGATTGATGATTCGCCTGAAAATCTGAAATGTGTTAGAAGAAAGAAGAATGCGTGAAGAATCTGGATTTTGGCTTGTCCAGAAACTATTCGTGTGTGTGCAGGTGTACATGCATATGTATGTAGTTGCATATGGAGGTCAGAGGTCAACCTCAGGTGTTAGTTTCAGGAGCTGTCTACTTTGGTTTTTGAGACAGAGTCTCCCGCTGGGACCTGGAACTCACCAGTCAGGCTAAGCTGACCGGCCAGCAAGCTTCAGGGATCCCTCTCTCTGCTTCGCTAGCATCAGGGTTATGAGTATGCACCATGCCTGGCTTTTTATGTGAGTGCTGGGGATTGAACTCAGGTCCTTGTATTCGCACAACAAGTATTTTACAAACTGAGCTATCCTCCCTGCCCGCAGGGACTGTTGTCGAATGTCTACCTCTCTCTGTTTGAGGATGGTGACCAGTGTTGTCTGTTGTGCTATGGGCATGGCAGGAGCTGCTTGTCTTTGCTAACAGTCGTTACATAATGAAATCAGAGTGCCACCTGCTGTCTGAGACACTGGTACATTTACCACTGAATTGGTCTTCTAGTCACTAGAGCCCAAAGCACCTGCCAGCGCAGGGTTTCACACATTCAGGTGGGTATTTCCATCCAAGTATAGTAATCGGTGCTAGATGAGATAATGAAAGTGGTTTGGAGGCTCGGGAACCACACTAGCATTTTGTTCCATTCCCCAAGTCGTGTCAGGTTATTTTGTTCTGCTTCTTAGGGAAATCTCTATCTTGTGTTTTCAGGAGAGGCCAAGTGGCTCCTGCAGAGTGGCATTGTCATCCTCCTTCCACATGGCTATGATGGGGCTGGACCTGACCACTCATCTTGCCGAATAGAGCGGTTCTTGCAGGTATGTAAAATGCCACTGGAGTCTAAAAAAATGCTTTCCTGTTTCCTAGGCTCTTCCCCATTCCATACACTATCTCCTGTAGCTAGCTTCATGGGCACTTCAACTGCGAGATACTGTAGCTGAGTGAAGCCAGCTCACTGCAATGCGACTATTCCTTGGAGTGCAATGTCTCAGCTTCTAGATAATACCACAGTTTCTGGGAAATAAAAGAAATTCAAGGGTTTCTGGAGTCAAACGTGGTTGTGCATGCCTGTGATTTGAGCTCTTAGGAGACTGAGGAAGAATGATTTCCTTCTGTTTTAGACTAGCATGGGGGCATATGGGAAGCTACAGTCTCAATAAAATAAAATAAAATAAAAATAAATTTAAAAATGGGGATAGGAGACAGGTTAGAGCAATAGCTTAGTAAAATACTTGTTGCCCTAGCACAAGGACCTGAATTTGATCTCCAACATCCATATTTAAAAACCAGGCTTGGGAGTGGGGGCCTTGGCTTTTTTTTTTTTTTTTTTTTTTTTTTTTTTGAGACAGGATTTCTCTGTATAGTCCTAGTATCCTGGAACTCACCTTGTAGACCATGCTGGTCTCAAACTCACAGAGATCCTCCTGCCTCTGCCACCAAAGTTCTGGGATTAAAGGTGTGCCCTACTACAGTCCTGCCCAGTGAAAGCCAGGTTCGTACTAACAGAGTTGGTGAGGCAGGAGATTGGAGGACCCTTGGTGCTCACTGCCAGCCAGCCTAGCCCAATCAGGATGCTGCAGACCAAGTGAAACCTTGTTTGAGAAAACAAGGTGGGTGCCACTTGAGGAAAGATCCTCCAGGATTTACTTCTGTTCTAAACGCTTACACACAAACACATCAAACACATGTATGTACACCCATGCACACATGTTCATCTGCATGAATACACACACATTCACAGATACAGAATGATTTCAGGCTGGAGCTGCAGCGCAGTGATAGAGTACTTACCTAACATGTGAGTGGCCCTGAGTTCCGTTCCTAGCACTAGACACATGACTGGGGGTCTGGGGAGAGGGAGAGGAGCAGGAGGAATTCCAGTGCTGGGGAGGTAGAGACTGGTGGAGCCCTGGAGGTCACTGGCCAGCTACTCCAGCCCAAGTGTGAGATCCAGGTTCAGTGAGAAACTCTGTTTCAAAAAATAAAGTGGAAAGTGACTTAGGAGATCACACAATGTTGACCTCTGGCCTTCACATGCACATGAATGCATATGCACCACACTTGTACATATATACACACACACAGAGCAACATGAACAACAAAAGAGTGAGCTAGAAAGATAGAAAATGGTGACCAGAAAGGGGGGATGTACAAAATGGAGCTTATGGAGAAAATCCTGTTGATTATATCAAGAATATTATCTTGTGCCACAATCTGTATGTGCTTTCCCAAAATTCATTCATTGAATTATATCCCTCATCCAAAGCCAGGTGAGGAAATTAGGTTGCGAGGCCTGTGATAAGCGATGAAGTCATAAATGTAGAGCTCTTAGGGCTGGGAATGTACTAAGGAGCCTTCTAGCTGCATACTTGCTCTTCACTCCATGTACGGACACGTGAGAAGACACCATGTGTGAGTCAGGGAATGGGCCCTGATCAAACACCAAATTTACTCCGTGATCTTGGACTTTCCAGCCTCCATAAATGTGAAAAATAAATGTATGTTGTTCCTAAGTAACCTGGACTTAACCAGGAATGGTTGGACATACCTCTAATCCCAATGTGTGGGAGACAGAGACAGGAGGATTGGGAGTTCAAAGCCATCGTTGACTATTTAGTAAGTCTGAGGCCAACTGGGTTACATGAAATGCTGTCTTAAAACCATAACATAAACAACATTACCCAGTTTCATGGCCATCCTCTTTTGAACCACCATGGACTATTGGTGGCCATATATTCAGGGACTAGTTATGGTCCATGCTTTGTAGAAGCAACTAGCATTGATAGCAGATGAGCAAAGGAGAGTGTTACAGCTTTTTTCAAAGATTTTTTTTTATTTTTATGTGTATGGGTGTTTTGTCTACATGTGTGCTTGTAGAACAAAATGCATGCATTACCTGCAGAGGCTAGGAAAGAACATCGTATTCCTTGGAAATGTAATTATAGATTATTGTGAGCTACCATGTGAGTGCTGGGAACTGAACCTGGCTCCTGTGGAGGAACAGTCGGTATTCTTAACTATTTGAGATATGTTGACATATCTCCAGCTCCCATGCCATAGTGTTATGGCTTTTAAGCTTTGAGTGTCAAGAACTTCAGCCCTGAGGATTTGACAACTTCTTTCTTTTTCTTTTTTTTTTTTGTTTTTGTTTTTCGAGACAGGGTTTCTCTGTGGCTTTGGAGCCTGTCCTGGAGCCAGTCCTGTAGACCAGGCTGGTCTCGAACTCCCAAAGATCGCCTGCCTCTGCCTCCCGAGGACTGGGATTAAAGGTGTGCGCCACCATCGCCCGGCTGACAACTTCTTTCTTATAATAATTGAAAATTATAGGCATGAGTGTTGACACATGCCTTTGATGCCAGCATTCAGGAAGGCGGAGGAAGGCAAATTAGAAGGTAGCCAGGGTCTACAGATAGGACAGCCAGGGCCACTCAATGAAAAACAAACAAATTGACTCTTGTGGGTTTAAATCTTTATTGCCACGATTTCATCTACTGCCATAGTGGGTATCTCAAGTCCTTTGTTTATTTTAATAATTTCATTTTCAGCCTTATGAAAAGATTCATGTCTATAAATAACTTAGAAGAGTCTTTGGCTGCCTTTAATCCCAGAACTTGGGAGGCAGAGACAGGTGAATCTCTGTGAGTTTGGGGCCAACCTGGTCTACAAGAGCTAGTTCCAGGACAGGCTCCAAAGCTACAGAGAAACCCTGCTGGATAAACCAAAAATAAAAAAAGAAGAGTCTTTGCTGCTCATGTAAATGCCTGCTATTTCTTCTGCTTTCTGTTTTCATTGTCTTTATGCCAAGCTCTTTGTGTCATTTATATTTTCAGCCTTGTCTGTTCTTGACATTTCTTTTTTCTAAGATGTATTATGTATACAGTGTTCCACCTGTATACAGAATAGAGAACCAGGTCTCATTATAGATGGTTGTGAGCCACCATGTGGTTGCTGGGAATTAGACTCAGGACCTCTCGAAGAGCAGCCAGTGCTCATAACCTCTGAGCCATCTCTCTAGCTTGACTTTTTTTTAAACTTAATTTTATGTATATGAGTGTTTGCTTGCATATATGTATATGTGCTATGTGCATGCTTAGTGTCATGGAAGCCAGACGAGGGCAACAGATTCCCTGAAATGGAATTATAGATGGTTGATAGCTGTCATGTATGTGCTGGAAACTGAGCCCAGGTCCTCTGTAGGAGGAGCACATGCTCTGAATCACCAAGGCCTCTTGCCAGTTGTTGTTCTTGGTACTTCTTGTTTACTTAAACCTCAGTAGTTTGAGTAGAGTTCTCACTTTGTGTTCTTAGTTTTATGCTCTTTATTATTGTCTGACTTTGTTCGGTTCTCTTTAAAACTGTCTGTTCTGGGCTCAGTAGGGAGAGTGCTTGCCTGTCATGCACTGACGCCCTGGGTTCAGTCCCTGTGTTATTCAAAACCAGGCATGGTTACTTGGCACATGCCTGTAATCCCAGTACTTGGGAGGTGGAAGCAGGAGAGTCAAACATTCAAGGCCATCCTCAGCTATTAGTGATTTGAGGCTAGCCTGAGCTAAATGAGACTGTGTCATCCTCCCTAAAAACACAGCAACAACAACAACAAAAAAAACCCTCAAACTCTGTCCTTAGCCCACTGTGTTCCTTTATTTTCTTTTGTCCTTCCTCCTTCATAAAGTTATTTGGCTACATGGTATTTATGTTATCCCTATGCTGTTTCTTTCATCTTGTCTTTAGTTACTTGGGCCTCTTCGAAGACCTTCTGTGTTTTCCAATCAAGAATGAATAAATATTTATATATCCTGCACAGTGGATACAATATATTCTCTTACAACAGTAGTTGAAGATAGGCTCCAGAGTTTGGGTCCTAAGGATGTAACTGGGAAAGGACTCTTTGATCTGGGTGTTTTTCTGAGGTTCAGTAATTGCCCACAAATATCTCCTCCCTATGGGAGATGGATGCCACTTCCATTAGGCTTCTGTAGGAGTTTCTTACTAGAGAAGACTATGCCTTTGACTTTTCCCAGGATGCTCCTAACTGCCTTTCTTCTGGAATACTAGGATTTTTTTTTCAATCCTATTTCCATCCCCACACTGCTTCTATATTAGGGTTGGGGCCAGCAGGATCTTCTGAGCTTATTCTTTCGCTCTCAACCTTTTAACATACATCTTAAATTTTTTTGAGACAGTGTCTTGTAGCCAAGGCTGACCTTGAACTCCCAACCTTTCACTCTCTTCTTCCATTTCCTGGGATTTCACCACACCTGGCTCAATCTGCGTTTGTTTGTTCTTTTGTCCTGAAATGTGCACACTGCAATTTTATTTCACCCAAAGTGTGAGATTCTGTTAGTGCTCCCTCTTACCGTCTTAATCTGATGATAACCAGAAGATTTGTGGTGGGGGGAGGCAGAAAAATTTTTTGTTTTGTTTGTGAGACAGGGTTTCTCTGTGTAGTGCTGGCTGTCTTAAAACTGGTTCTGTAGGCCAGAGTGACCCTAGATTTACAGAGATCTGTCTGCCTCTGCTTTTTGAGCGCTGGGATTAAAGGCATGTGCCACCAACACCTGGCATAAAGATATTTTAATATAAGCTTAAATGAAGATAATAAGAAAAGGGAAGAGGCACTCAGAAGATAGTAAGACATACCAGAGAATAAGTGTGCCAAATAACTATTGCTCTTAACTTTCTACGGGGGGTGGGGGTGGGGGGAGGATAGGCGCATAACAGCGAAGGATAGAGGATCCTTTATTTGTTTTTTGAGACAGGTTTTCATGTAGCTTGGGCTAGTCTCAAATCAGTTGTTGCAGAGGGTGACCGTGAACATCTGACTCTTTTGCCTCTACCTTCCACATCTATGTGTGGGTACTGGTTGCTCAAGAGAAAGGATTTTTTTTTTTTTTAAAAAAATTCTTTCCCAGGTGCCTTTTTCAAGCAGCCTTGTCTGGAAGTAGCTTTGTTAGAAGTGAGTGGATGGAGACAACTCTCTATCTCTTCTTTGGTTAATACTTTATAGGTCAGGGAAAATGCCTTCTAATACTTTTCTGATACACAATGGAGAGAAATATCTTTATTAGCTGAGGATCTATGTGCTTCCCTGTATCCTTGGGCTGTGCTGGGACTAAGGCAGATGATCCAGCGTGCCTGTGTTCTCTTCCCATTGCTCTCCTAGATGTGCGATAGTGCAGAAGAAGGGGTGGACAGCGACACTGTGAACATGTTTGTGGTACACCCAACTACGCCCGCTCAGTATTTCCACTTGCTTAGAAGACAAATGATCCGGAATTTCAGAAAACCTCTCATTGTTGCTTCTCCCAAAGTGTTACTCAGGTACCCTGTAAGTAGAAAGAGCTATCTCATAAGGCCTTTTCCTTTTGTTACTTTTTTATAGTCTATTTTCTCTATTTTCTGTATTTAATTGTATTTATTTTTTGTTAAGTTTTATTTGCTCTATGTGTGTGTGTGTGTGTGTGTGTGTGTGTGTGTGTAAGAGCCCCCAGAGGCCAGAAGAAGTGTTGGACTTAAAGGTGGTTATGAGCCAGTCAGTGTGGGTGCTGGTGTAAGTGGAGACTGCTTGTTTATTTCCCGGTCGCCTAGACCTGAATAATAACACAAACACTATATTAATCACAACACTGTTTGGTCAATAGCTTAGGTGTATTTCTAGCTAGCTTGAAATTAATAGCTATAACCTGAATTAACTCATTTCTATTAATCTGTGTATTGCCACAAAGCTGTGTCTTACCAGGTAAGGTTCTGGCATCTTTCTCCTTTAGCAGCTACATGGCATCTCCTTGACTCTGCCTGCTACCTCTCTTTATCTCTGTTGAGATTTCCTGCCTTGCTATTTTCTGACCTGCCACAGGTCAAAGAAGCTTCTTTATTAACCCATGAAACATATTTATAGCATACAGGGGGAATCCCACATCACCCTGGGACTTGAGCTCAGGTCCTCTGGGCGAGCAGCAAGTACTCATCCTCTGAGCTATCCCTAGCAGCTATGTTGTGGCTTTCTCTGTAGTTTTTTTTTTCACCAATATTTTCAGGAGTCTTGAGAAATCACAGAAAATTCAAAAACAGTTGTACAATCCCTTTAGGACGGGTTGGTTTTTTATTTTGCCTTTTTGGAGTGTGTGTGTGTGTGTGTGTGTGTGTGCATGTGCACACATACGTGTGTTGATGTTTTTTGTGGAAGGGCTCTTCTGATGCAGATATTTTGAAACAGAAGCCTCAAGCCGAGTCAAAGTGTAAATTACTACAATATTCAGCTTCTTCTGGGTGCAGAAGCAGAGGCAGGAGAATCTCTGAGTTCAAGGCCAACCTGGTCTTCACAGTGAGCTCCAGGCCATTATGAGCTGTATAGTGAGACTCTGTCTCAGACAACAAAATAAAAAGACAAACAAAGCTGTCTTATGGGACAGACAAGGCAAGCTCTTATCATTCAGTTTGGCGCACACAGAACTGTACCCTGGAGAACACTGTGTTCGTGAGCATGCTTGAGTGTGGTTCTGTGCCAGAGTTCTAGAACTGTTTCTCTAAGATCTGCTCGCAGTCACAGCTGTAGCTCTTCTCCGTTGTTCATGTGGGTGTGGCTGTTTTTCTTCTTCAGGCAGCTGTGTCAGCTCTTCAGGAAATGGCCCCAGGAACAGCATTCAAACCTGTCATTGGCGATTCATCAGTAGATCCAAAAAAGTAATTTGGTGTTTCTCTGTTTCCTACTTTGGGCAGGGGTTTTATAAGTGAACAAAATTTCTTATATCCTGTTATAAATTGTGTGTGTGACTGAATACATTGCCTTACCATGCTTAATACTGCTGAGCTACATCTCAGCCCCTTGATAGCTATGTTGTAAGGGGAGTGTGTATGAAAGAGTGAATTCTGGGGACAGCTGTCACAGAAAGAGAATTGCAGGTGACTGAACCCAGCAGCAGAGCCCCAAGCAGCTTTATTGCAACACATTGAAATCGAGTCTCCTCTCTCTTCTGACACAATTCCTAAGCATGTTTTGCTCCACACTGATAGCTGCTTTGTCCCCAACAGCGTTAAAACTCTCATATTTTGCTGTGGTAAACATTTTTATGCTCTGCTGAAGCAAAGAGAATCTTTGGGGGCCAAGAAGCATGACTTTGCCATCATTCGAATAGAGGAACTCTGCCCTTTCCCACTGGATTCATTACAACAAGAGATGAGCAAATACAAACATGTTAAAGGTAAAGGCTTTTTTCTTTCTTTTTTTCTTTTTCTTTTCTTTTTCTTTTTTTGGTTTTTCAAGACAGGGTTTCTCTGTAGCTTTGGAATTTGTCTTGGAACTAGCTCTCTAGACCAGGCTGGCCTCAAACTCACAGAGATCCACCTGTCTCTGTCTCCTGAGTACTGGGATAAAAAAAGGCGTTCATCACCACTGCCCACCAAGGTAGAGCCTTTTGTTTGTAGTTGATTGTTTTCTTTACTCTTTGCTATCTGGGGTCCTACCATCCAGTTTTTAAATAAATTACATGGAGACTTATTCTTACTTATGAATGCCAAGCCTAGTCAACTTTTCTTAAATTTTTCTATCATCTACCGTTTGCCTTGGTGCTTTTATCTTTCTCTATTTTATATACCTTTCTTTACTTCTTACTCACTGGCTTGCTGTGTAGTGGAGTGGCTGGCCCCTGATGTCCTCCTCTCCGTCTCCTTTGGCTCCCCAATCTCTCTTCCCAGATTTCTCCTTTATTTATTTTTCTCCCTCTGCCAGCTCCGCCTATCCTTTCTCCTGCCTAGCTATTGGCTGTTCACCTCTTTATTAGACCAATCAGGTATTTTAGACAGCTAAAGTCATATAACTTCACAGAGTTAAACAAATGCAACATAAAAGAATACAACACATCTTTGCATCATTAAACAAATGTTCCACAGCATAAACAAATGCAACACGTCTTCAACTAATATTCCACAACACTTGTTCCTGTTGGGGAAACCCGTTCACACCATTTCAGATGGAAAGAGGTGGGGGAAGTGAAAGGCACTAGAAAGTCAAATCTCATGGAATCTGAGGATATGTTTTGAAGTACCACTAGGGCCATGTCTTGGTGTTCCACTATCATCTAAACATAATTTCTTGAAAATTTGTGGGTCATTAGTGCTGTCCCATCATATGTGATAATTGCAGTATAATTGTAAATGATAAAGCACTTTCAGCACTTAGGTTGGAAAATTTGATGTCTGTGTGCACCTGAGAGAAATTAAGTGATTTCAGACCTCAATGTACCTGTAACACGATTAGGAGAAAACCTCTGTGAGCTTGGTTAGATAGAAAGATTTTAGTTGTGTCATCAAAAATTTGGCTTAATCAGCATGAGAAACTTTCATTGTAAAAATTATTGTAGGGGCTGGAGAGGTGGCTCGGTGGTTAAGAGCACTGGGTGCTCTTCCAAAGTTATCTGGCTCAGTACTAAACTGGTACAGTTAGTACTTAATGACTAACTGTAACTCTAGTTTCAAGGGATCTGACATTTTCTTTTGGCCTCTGAGGGCTCCAGGCACATATGTGGTGCACAGAAATACATGCAGGCCAAACACCCCTACCCTCAAAATATTTAAAGTGTAAAGCAAAACAACCCCTCCCCAATAAACCGAGCATGCAAAGCAAAGCAAGTGGAACCCTCTCTCACCACTGCTGGGATTACAAGTGTTTCCCACCACTCTGGAACATGGTTTCTTACTACATGAACCCCAGTTTACCTTGTAACCCAGAATTCCCACTGCTGGTTTACCCAGAAAATGAGAACAGGTTCACAGGAAAATCTGCATACAGGTATTTTTAGCAGCTGCATTTGTTTTTTGTTTTTAGTAGCTTTATTTGTAATTGCCTCAAGCTTGGAATAATCAAATGTTCTTCACTTAGGCAATGAGTAAACACAGTTCCCCTGTAGCAAGAAATGTGTGTAACATCATATTCAATAAAGCAGGAAGGACTACTGTTTGCTATGCAGGCCCTCAAGGATGCTCAAGGCAACCAGGCTAGCTCTGAACCTCTAGGAATGAACGGTTGCTATTCACAAGAACTTGGGTGAATCACAAATGTATTTTGACAATTCACATCATACCCAAAAGGCTACACACTGTATGACTCCATTTATTCGGCATTTTGGTAACATGAAACTTCATGATAGACAAAAGGCTGATTCTTGCTAACATTTGGGGCTCAGAAGCATACTAACTGCAAACAATCAGGATGAAAGAACTATTTTGAATCATGATTATTTTTTTTTGATGAACATATAACTATGTACTTGCCAGAAAGGAAAAAAGAAAGAGGAAGGAAGGAAGGAAGGGAAGAAGGAAAGAAGAAAGGAGGAAAGGAAGGAAGAAATAACATTAGGAGCTAGAGAGATGGTTCAGGTGTTAACCCTTTCCAGTATCCACACTGGTGGCTCACAACCACCGGTAACTCCAGCCTCAAGGGATCCAGTGTTCTCTTCTGTCCTCATTGGGCACCTGTGCACAGGGCACACATTTATACAGACATGCATACATACACATACCTAATAAAAAATTTAAGATGCGAACATGTTGGAAAAGCATTTAATTGAAGTTGAAAATTTATCTATTTTCCATCCATCCCTTTCTCTACTTCACTTCTTGGTATATAAGTTATATATTAGGTGTTGAAGTCAATTTTTTAATTTTGTAGATATTATTTGGAGTCAGGAGGAGCCTCAGAACATGGGTCCATGGTTTTTTGTTTCTCCAAGGTTTGAAAAACAGCTGGCCTGCAAGGTGAGTGTCCATTCTTAAATTTATATTCGTTCATATTCTCTCTCTCTCTCTCTCTCTCTCTCTCTCTCTCTCTCTCTCTCTCTCATTTCTCTTGGAGTAACAACATAAGGGTTTTTATTCTCAGCTCCCTCATTTGTTTAAAGATAAAGTGAAATGAAAACCTCTCTTTTTCAGCTGGTCATGGTGCTGCATGACTATATTAGGAGGTTGGGGTCACTTGAGTTTATGAGTTTGACCTCAGCTCAGGCAACATAGTCAGCATGCAAGAGGAAGAGGAAATAAAAAGGGAAATTTAGTTTTAGGTTATTCCTTTGGAGGAAAATGCTGAGTTTATGGAGCTGTCTATGTATTAAGATTACGGAGATTGAGTATCCTTTACCCAGAATGATCAGAACCGGAAGTGTTTCAGATATGTGATTTTCAGATTTTGGAGTATTTATGTACACTTCCTAGGCTGAGAAGGCTTAAAAAAATTCCAAAATCTGAAATGCTTCAAAATCCAAGACCTTTTAATAACTATCTGAAGAATTTGGTTTGAGGATGCTCAACCTGTAATATTATGCTAAAAGTGTGCTTGTATCCCAGAAAAACGATGAACTTTGTATGTCGTTACTTTTCTTACTATTTCCTCACCATATCTTGTCCAAGTGCCAGAGAAAGATGCTGATGAATATTTTTTTTCAGTTTTGTGCCTGAGATACCCAGTTAGCACTTATTCCGGCCATGTTTATCATGCTGTTAGACTGTACATCTTTACCTTTCTCAGGAAAGGAGAGACAATAAGAATAGTTGTACTTTTCTTCATCTATTTATTCTGTGTGCAGTAGAATGTGGTTCCCTCCTTTAGTATGAGTTTACTATGATAAGATCATTTTTACGTGAAATACATCTAGTTAAATAAACTATAGCTAAGATCAAAAGATAGGTTTTTTTCACCTTATCATGCTTGGAATTCAGGGGTAGATATTTTATTCTAATCTGTTCTCTGTAATTCCATATTTCTTCTTGCCTTGAACAAGCTAACAGAGAATATATGGAAATTTTTGGTGGAATTGATCAGAACTCCAGTACACTCAAAATGTCATTTGGTTTCTTCTTTGCTTCCCTGACAGCTCCGTCTTGTAAGCCGGCCCCCTTTGCCAGCACCTGCAGTAGGAATTGGCACCGTGCACCAGCAGCAGCATGAAGACATCCTCACCAAGACCTTTGCTTCATAATGTGCTTTGAGAAAAACAGGATTGCCTTTTAAGCAAAGTGCTGTAAAGGTGAACCTGCTTCTCCCACCCTTCCTCCTTTCCTCCGGCTAGCGTGGAAGTCCGTGGAGTGATTTGGACAAATGACTCTGGAATAAGTGGAATAAGTGGGGAATGATTTTATAAGTAATGAAAGAGATAGTAGATTATTATCCTTTGCAGGACAATAGTGTTTGTTATGCTTTGGTTCGATATGAATGAACTGGAAAAGGAGGTCATTAGCCAGATGTATTCAGACTCCACTGTAACTGACCATAAATGAGCAAGGAAAGTTCTTTGGCTAAAACGTGGGGCTGTATATAGGCAGTGTATAGGCAGCCCCAACACGACCACTTACTTGTTTAGTGCACATGACTTATCTTAATTTTCCCCCTTTTCAAAGCCCTCTAAACAGCAGTATTTTTGTTTTAAGACATCTCTGAGCCACTCTACGAAATGTTCCACCCCATACCAGTAGAATCAGACCATTCCGGATTTGTGTTCTTTCAGGGTTTATCCATTATCATGAAAAGTAAATCCTGTTAAATACAACTTTCTGATTGTGCGATCTTCTAGCTGTGTGTGCTGAGACACACACAGTTGTTGTCCTGTTGTCCAGGCTGGCCTCATCCTCACTGTAGAGCAGAGGATGACTGACTGAACTTCTGCTCTTTCTGCCTCTACTTCCTGAGTGCTGGGACTCCTCACTTGTGCGGTCATGCCTAGTTAGTACTGGTGATGAGGATCAAGTGGTAGGGAGGACTCTACCAACTGAGCTGCTGCCCTGGCCCCTAGTGACTTTTAAATTATGAAGTGTTAGCTGTATTAAAACTGGCTTGTGCTTTATTTTACCATTAAGTCCCCCCCCCCATTATATTGTTTTGACATTTCTAACTTTTAAACTATCTTTGGTGTCTGATGGGTGGATTTCAGTATCAGGCTAATCACTTCCAGGTACAACTATGATGTATGTTCGTGCTGTAAAGGACATTAATTTTTTAGCTACCTTCCCAAATCCATGTCCTTGGGGTTCCTTAGAGGTCACCAAGTGACCCACTTTACTTGGAGTTAAGCCTAATGTTGGAACCAAATCGAAACAGTAGCTGTGTGGCTTCATTTGAACTGGTTCTGAGGAGCATCTGCCATGTACCATTCTTGCTTTATGATACTGCTTTTCTAAAAGATCATGGGGGCATATGAAAGGCTGGAATGCGTCTATTCCCTGTTATCTTTTACCATCAATGGGCCGTGTGTTAAATCATCAATGAATAGGCAATTCTAGATTAGTAATAGATTTGTAATGCACAACTTTTTGTTTGTTTTTGAGATAGGGTCTCACTATGTAGTTCTCACTGGCCTGGAACTCGGATCTCTCTGCCTTTGTTCCCTGAGTGCTGGAATTAAAGGTGAACACCACCATGCCAGACTCCAATTTACATTTTAAAACCATTCTTTAGTGTACTTATTTAACATTCCTGTAATATTTGCTTCTCTTTTTTTCCTGTGACTTCCTACCCCCTTCCTTCCTCTCTTCCTTCTTTCCTTCTTTCCTTCCTTCCTTCCCTCTCTTTCTTTTGTTCATTCTTTCATTCTTCCTTACTTTCTTTTTTCTTTTCTCTGGATATCAGTTCTAGAGCCTTGTGCTTACTAGCTCCACCACCGAGCCTTTACCTCCTTTTTCTTTTCTTTCTTTCTTTCTTTCTTTCTTTCTTTCTTTTTTTTTTTTTTTTTTTTTTTTTTTTTTTTTTTTTTTTTTTTTTT